GGAACACGAGCCCAGTGCGGACGCTAATCAGCATCATTTCTGACAAGTTATAAGCGTCAGTAATAATACCAGCAGTACTATCACTCAACTACACTGCTAGTAAGCAGCAGTATAAAATAGTAATAGCAATACCAGCCTTGGTTCCCTTGAGTCTGACTTGACTCCTACTGAAGTTGAGTGAGGGTAAATAGTGCGTTAGCACTAGGGCAAAAGACTACTGCCACCAAAGACTAAGTAGGCGGTGTTCTGGCCTGCATTGGAGAAAGCGGCCTACGCCTGATTCCTGCTCGGTCATCTCGACTCTGTCTTGTCCCCGGATCAAACGGGGAGAGTGTTTAGAATATGGTAGATGGTTGCTCGTTTATTTTCACTATACATGACTACAGTCACCATCCCTGCTCTTGGGTATATGGTGGACATCATAGATTTCGGTGATCGAACGGTAGGAGTACTTCGTGGGGCCGCCTGGGGAGCGCGCTGAGCGCGCTCCTCCGTCTTTTGGGCTTATGATTTTAGGAGAGAGGGCGGGTGGGGCATGTCAGGGAAAAAATTAGATCGCAATTATTCTGTAAAATAAAAAAGTTACGAAGGTAAGTTGGGAGGCGCACTCAAACCTCGGGCGGGACACTGAAGCATGCTTTATTATCACCGCTAACCCCCATCGGACCAACGGCGAGCGCGTATATGTCGGAGGGGGGTGTGCCCCAACCTCGGGCGAGGTCATTGAGGTACATTTTCTAGTGGTACCACCAACACCAACTACAACAAAGGTTACCGCAGTACAAAAGTGGGAGGCTTATGGAAATCTCCCTACTTAAAATTTGCGAGTAAGCAATTATCTCCGTGGTTAATTTAATGGGCTTATTTTGCTTAATATACTGACTAAAGCAGTTTTTGTATGCGGCGGCCTTTCGAGGATCACTCTGCGGTTCAATGCCACTATCAACTCCCTGCTAGGTCGACGGACGGCTTGTATAAAAATGGAAGATTATGGGTAATTCAACCTACTTATTTTTTTAAGTAGGAAGCTATAATACATAAGGACATTTCGAAGACCTCACTTGGAAACCCTACCGATCGAACGGTCATCACCCTTTCAGTCTCAAATTCTCTGCCCCGACGGCTACCGTGACGAGCGC